TATTTTTTCAGTATATCACATTACATAACATATCTTCATTTGTGTTCAACAGAAGAAACTCAAACAGGTTTGTTGGAGGATGAGGAAATGTTTTGTTTTGGCTGAACGGTCTCTTTAATGTGTTTACCTGATATATCCTGGTAATGAATGCTCATCATATTCATGTCAATAGCTTTTACATGATAGCCTATTTTCATCCAACAATAACAACAACAACAACAACAACAACACGGCATTACCAAAGTGCAGAAATATGTGAGTTTTGTGGACACGTTTTAATTTTCTATCATTTGCTGTGCCTCAAACTAATCAGCATCCAACACTCTATCATGGTCTAAAATCCATAGTCTTATTATTGACCTTATTCTTCAATGCAGACGTGCGCTCGTTTTTGCGAATGGTTTAGAACTTCCGATTCAGTCAGATATGGGAGAAATGACTAGAAATAATAAACTGTGGAAAACTACTCGCTCTACAAACAAGTGTGTCCATGACTATACAGACAAAGCAGAATAATATAATAAGAAACTATCAGTTTGCAAAATCAAGCAGCAAAGGAGTTGTTTTCATTGTCTAAAAATTAATGGAAGGGAATGAGAGCAGAAGTTTCGAGCCAAAAAGATTCAAATGGCTGAACTCGCTCATGCACGAAGAATAAGGTCAATAGTTTGTTATTATATTGTAAGTTTGAGGGGTCATCCAGAGCCAGTGTTTGACATTAAAACTGTATGAAAGGCTTTGACTGATGGAAACCCTTCAGATAGTTCTATAAAAATAAATCAGATAAAAAAAATATACATATATTTCAGAATCATATAAGTCAGAATTATTAGCCCCAAGTTGACTTTTCTTCCTTTTTTAAATATTTCCCAAATGATGTTTGACAGAGCAAAGAAATTTTCACAGTATGTCTGATGATATTTTTCCTTCTGGAGAAAGTCTTATTTGTTTTATTTTGGCTAGAATAAAAGCAGTTTTTAATTTTTTGAACCCATTTTAAGATCAAAATTATCAGCCCCTTAAGCTATATTTTTTCCCCCATAGTCTACAGAACAAACCATCATTATACAATAACTTGCTTAATTACCCTAACCTGCCTAGTTAACCTAATTAACCTAGTTAAGCCTTTAAATGTCACTTTAAGCTGTATAGAAGTGTCTTGAAAAATATCTAGTCAAATTTTATTTACTGTCATAATAAATCAGTTATTAGAAATGAGTTATTAAAACTCTTATGATTAGAAATGTGTTGAAAAAACTTTTCTCAGTTAAACAGAAATTGGAGAAATGAAAAGGGGGCTAATAATTCTGAATTCAACTGTGTGTATATATATACATATATATATATTATTATATTATTTTATATACAATAAATTTGAAGGTTATTATATTATATTATATTATATTATATTATATTATATTATATTATATTATATTATATTATATTATATTAATTTGAAGGTTATATCCGAATTATTTTTCAAATATTTCCCAAGTGATGTTTATGCAATACATTTTTCCAAAGTATTTCTTATAATATTTGTTTTCTTCTGAAAAAAGCATATTCTCATTTATAGTTAGGCTGATTTAAAACATTTAAATAAAAATATATATAAATTTTAAGGTCAATACAGTCAACAGAACAAACCACTGTTGTCCAACAACTTGCCTAGTTAACCTTATTAAGCTAGTTAAGCATTTAATTTGCACTTTAAGTCGAATACTAGTCTTGAAAACTAGTACTATATTATGCACTGCCATCATGGCACATACAAAAATAACCCATTTTAAATGATTTATTGAAAGATATTATATAAAAATATTAGGTTTTAAAATGTTTCTTTTTTTTAAATCAAATCTTCTATCTGTTAAACAACATTTGGGAAATATTTTGAAAATTATTTCACAGGAGGGCTAATAATTTTGCCTTTAAGTAGTATATACATACATATAGTAGCTCTGAAAAAAAACAATTATGAAACCAATTTAAAGTAATATGAATCTGAAATCGGTTCTCTTAATTTGGACTAATAGGTTTGTGTTTTAAGTAAATCTTCATTTATGTTTTATTTTATGAACTACTGATAACGTCTTCACATTTCAAAAAATGCATTTATCATTTACAAAATTTATTTGAAGAAATTAACAACAGGTAAATGTATTAAGTATTCTCATTATCTATTTTGAATTACAGTATGTTTTATTTGAATTTCACATTTTAATGTCATTATTATTGTAAATACAGTTGAAGTCAGAATTATAAGCCCCCCTAAATGAATAGCCCCTGACTATTTCTTTCTATAATTTCTGTTTAATGGAGAGCAGATTTCTTCAGCACATTTCTAATCATAATAGTTTTAATAACTCATTTCTAATAACTGATTTATTTTATCTTTGCCATGATGACAGTAAATAATATTAAACTAGATATTTTATTTAAGACACTTCTATACAGCGTAAAGTGGCAATTAAAGGCTTAACTAGGTTAATTAGGTGAACTAGGCAGGTTAGGGTAATTAGGCAAGTTATTGTATAATGATGGTTTGTTCTGTGGACTAATCGAAAAATATATATAGCTTAAAGGAGCTATTAATTTTGGCTTTAAAATATTAAAAACGGCTTTTATTTTACATGAAATAAAACAAATAAGACTTTCTCCAGAAGAAAAAAACATATGAAATACTGTGAAAATTTCCTTGCTCTGTTAAACATCATTTGGGAAATAATTAAACAAATAATAAAATAAAAGAGGATTTAATAACTCTGAATAATTAACTGCATCTATGATTTTAGATTATAACTCCAACAATAGAATTACTATTACAGTATATTATCAAAATATATAGTAAATCACACATATTAACCGTCTGGAACAGAAAAAAAAGCATAGGCTACTGCAATGGACTTGATTGTTAGTGCAGTTTTGAAGCAATTCAGTTTTGACACAGTGAGTTATCATTCAGAGCAGTCGAGCACACTGAGATGAAGTTATTTTTATATGTACACATTCAGATTTTCATTTTTATTTTATATAATGTCAGAAAAAGAATTATTTGCAAATACTAAATAGTGACATGCTATCAGCAGGCAATGACTATCATAGAACAACATTGTTCAGAGTCAATTAAATAGTGCCAATGGTGTTTTGAAGTCAAACTAGTATGTGATTTCAGGCCGAATAATTAAAGTAGCACGGTAAACAACATAAGGAGCGTGTCACAAGTTCTCAATGAACAAATGTGCGCTTATAAAGCCAACTTTACCTCAATGTCCAGCACACGTAATTGATGTGCATGTCTGCATTGAGTTACCTGTGTGAAGTCTTCATCACTCAGCAGGTGCGCGTCTCGAGCTTTGAAGCAGTTCTGGCATTTACTCTTGTTGAAAATATTGGCCTGGAATTTTCGACAGGCGTTATCTTTCGCAGACGTGCTCTGTGCCATGAGTGTGTGTTTGTGTTCCCGTTTCTTTCCCGTTATTTTAAAAACTGCGCAATAATTCCAGCGGAGAGTCCTCCCCCGCGCGCCGCAGTCCGCCTCATCACAAACTCACTACGAGGATCAATTATTCATGCACAATAATCACCTGACAGGACCCTCGGCGAGGAGACAGTGTTCACAAGAACACTATTTACATCCCAGAGTTAGAAATAAAGAAGCCGAAAAGTTTTACATTAAGCGAGCTCTCTTGAGGGGTTGATTGTGAGGGGGATTCAGTCCGGGACCTTCCGCGCTCTCGATACACGCGCGCGTCCGTGTGTATGCCCGCGGACACGCGCAGATGCGTTACTCGGCGAGCCCCTTAAATAATACGGTAAACTTATAGAAACAGTCGAAGTAAACAGTGATGAAGAAGAGGTGTTTACTTTCCTCTAGCTCACCGCTCCCGACGAGCCTCTCAGCGGCACGCGGACACAACTATCCAGAAACTATCCAGTGTGTTTCAACGTGGATTTTCGAGAGATTCCTGCCGGATTTTTGCAGGTCTGGTTGGCACAGTGGCTTCGTTTCCCACGGTCACAGCTGATCTACACACACTTCACACTCACACACGCAGGAATGAGAAGGGCGGGGCGAGACTTAACTGACGTGCGCCGCAAGCCAATCAGAGGAAAGGACACGCCTACTATTTGTAGTCAGACTACGTCAGCGGCCAATCAGATGGCTCAATCGCACTGATTTTATGGGGAATAACAAGAATCATGGTAGGTGGACTGTGCACGGTGTACAGCGAAGTTATTTAAACTTACAGGCAGGAATTTATACGCACTTAAACGTTGCCTTTATTGATTTTAGTTTAGTTGTAAAATGAAAAAAGCCGTCGGCAAATAGTTAATGTGTATAGATCGTTGATAAGTACCCTTGTAACGCCCCTTGATAGTGACCAATCCTACCTGAGCGGCTCTCCGATGCCCCCGTTTGGATTCAATGCGGTATGAGAGACCCTACAATTAAAATATTTCTTTATTAAAGTTTACATTTATTATTTGTTTTAAATGTCAGTGAGTACACATCAGCAGTTCACATTTCTTTACCTTTGCATTTATTGGTGATA